CTGGGCCGCCTGGCGGCCATCGTGGCCAAGCAGGTACTGCTGGGCCGCAAGGTGGTGGTTGTGCTCTGTGAGGGCATCACATTTCTGGCAATTTCTACAGAAACAAGTTGAAGTTCCTGGCCTTCCTCTGCAAACAGATAAACACCAACCCATCCCGTGGCCCTTAGCACTCCCGAGCCCGCAGCCGCATCTTCTGGCGGCCGAGCGAGGCACGCTGCCCCACAAGACCAGCGGCCAGGCCGCCTTGGACCGCCTCCAGGTGTCTGACAGGATCCCACCGCCCTATGACAAGGAAAGCGAATGGGGTTCCCGCCGCCCTCAAGGTTGTGCGTCTGCAGCCTGCCCGGGAGTCTGCCTGCCTGGGGCGCCTGGCTACGAGGGTGGCTGGAATACCAGGCCGGCACAGCCCCTCTGGAGGAGGAGAGGAAGGAGAAGGCCAAGGTCCATCACCGCAAGAGAAAGCAGCTCGTGAGGCTACGGAAACAGGCCGAAAAGAACGTGGAGAAGAAAATCAACAAATTCACAGCGGTCCTCAAGACCCATGGACTCCTGGTCTGAGCCCAATAACACTGACTGTTATTCCTCACGCCTGGCCCGGCCTGCCCTTCCTCCATCGCCCCCTAGGATGTGGGGAAGCCCAGGGGCTGTTCCGGGGCCACAGGCACCTTGCCTTGGGCCTTAGAAGGCTGGGGGCACAGAAGGGGCCTTAGTCACTGCTGTTTAAAGAAAGGCCTTTTAAAAGCTTTACATGGCCCTGTCAGTTGGGCGTAATTTGCCTGTGACCTACTCAGAGTTTTAGGAAATGAGCACCTGGAACAGCTAGTTCCCTTTCAGCATCTACAAGCTGGAAAACTCTTTAAACTTCCCACACGATACTAGACACAGCTGTGAGGATGCAGCAACTGCTGGGGCAGGAGGGACCTGGTATTGCACAGAGGGGTTTACAGATGCACAGGCAGGACGGCAGCCACAGCGTCTCAGGCATCGCACTTGCACGGTCCTGTGCCTTATGATCGGAAAATGAATAAATTATTTTTAAGGAAAAAAAAAGACTAATAACATCAGGTGATAGTGAGGGCACTCTGCTATGTGCAGGGCAGATGGATATTTTAGAGGCTAGCATACACTTCAAGGGCAACTTAGCAATATTTTTAATATTTAAAATATGCATATCTTCAATCCAATAATTTCACTTCTATATCCTCAAAGAATACATGTGTAAAGAGGCATGTAAAATAATGTTCATCATTAACACTCATTGTAAAGCAAAAACTAGAAACCCCAATTTCCATGAAAAAAAAAGGTTAAATGAATTATACCCATACTATGCAATTCTATGTAACAGCTAATAATGAGGATATATCTACTGAGGTTTCTAAACAAAAATGCAAGTTGTGAGAACAAAAGGTGTAAAGTGATGTAATTTATGTTTTTAAAAGATACACAAAATTGCCCTGGCTGGAGTCGCTCAGTTGGTTGAGCATCGACCCATGAACTAGGAGGTCACAGTTCAATTCCCAGTTAGGGCACATGCCCAGGGCTTCAGGCTTGATCCCCAGTAGGGGGCGGATATTTCTATCTCTCTCTCCCTCTCCCTTCCTCTCTCTGAAATCAATAAAAACATATTTTTTTAATTTTTAAAGATAAATAAAATTTGTATTTTTACATAATATTGCAATTAACAAGGTAGGTATGATATACCAGAGGGAACATTCACTGTATAATATACTCATGTTTTACCTGTATAACTTATCAACTCCTTTCACCTTAGTCAGAACAAGGTGTCTGTCAACAGGCTGTCAATGACTTGGCAGAGATGGTGACCACACAGAACCCCAGTCCATGTGTACAACTGTCCCCCCTTATCTGCAAGGGAGATGATTAATACCCCAGTGGATGCCTGAAACTGGAGAACACCAAACCTTTTCCTGTACATACACATCTATGATAAAGGTTAATTTACAAATCAGGCACAGTAAGAGATTAACAATAACCAATAATAAAGCAGAAAATTATAACAATACTAGAGGCCTGGTGCACAAATTCGTGCACAGGTGGGGTCCCTTGGCCTGGCCAGCGATCAGGGCCAATCAGGGCCAGCCGGCGGGTTGGGGAGGGACTACGGGAGGTTGGCTGTGAGAGCATCTGCCCCCTGGTGGTCAGTGCGTGTCATAGCTACCGGCCAGTCATCCAGTCCTAACGGTCACTTAGGCTTTTATATAGAGAGAGACAGTAATAAATTTTATGTAAATGTGGTCTCTCTTTCTAAAAATACCCTATTGCACTGTACTCTCCCTACTTCTGATAAGATGATACATGCCAACATGATGGGAGGAAGTAAGGTGGAATTTTCCATTTAATACTTTGGTACTATGGTTAACCATGAGTAACAAACCACTGAGAGCCAAACCATGGACAGGGGGAACTACTGAATTTCCTCTCATCTCTTTTCCCCTTATCTAGTCTACCTCGCAATCATTTCAATTGATTTTCCTAAAGCAAAGAGCAAATATTTATTAAGATTTGCCATGATGTATATACTCTATTTGGTGATGAAAGGACTGCTGTAGGAAAGCTAATGACTGTAGCATGCAGGAAGCAATGTGAAGCACCGAGTGAGGCAGGAAACCAGTCAAAAGAGTGTTCAACAGGGGGCTGTGGGGATGGGAGTGGCTGGAAGAGATTAATGTGGGGGAAAGGAGGACCTATGTAATACTTTCAACGATAAAGATTTTAAAATATATATATATATATATAAACACTTAACTTAGAAAAGAAAAAAAAGAGAGTGCATAACAGGCCAGGCTTTCTTTATCCTGTTCAAAGCTGTTCAGGGATCCCAATACCTGTGAAATGAAGGCCAAATTCCCGAGCCTAATATCTAGGACAGTCCACAGTCTGACTTCAACATACTTTTCTGCTCTCTTCTATTACTTCTTCCATCACAAGTATCCAATTAGCCTGCCATTAGCATGTGCCCATACCTGTTCATAGTTACTTCTCCCATCTATCTTTCTAAATCTTGCTTCCTTTAAAAATGTAGATTCTAACTTGTTGTTTAATGGGTAACTTGCAGAAGTTAAGTTTTGCAAGACAACCAGTTCTGGAAATTGGATGCACAATGTGAATGCACTTAACACTATTGAACTGTACACTTAAAAAACATTAAGATGGGCCTGGCTGGTGTGGCTCAGTGGCCGAGCGTTGACCTATGAGCCAGGAGGTTGCAGTTTGTTTCCCGGTCACATGCATGGGTTGAGGGCTTGAGCTCAGTGGGGGGTGTGCAGGAAGTAGCCGGTTAATAATTCTCTCTCATCATTGATGTTTCTATCTCTCTCTCCCTTTTCCTTCCTCTCTGAAATTAAAAAAGTATGTATTATTTTTTAATGTCTAAAAAAAAAACACAATTAAACTTCCTGTAAACAAATAAAAATGAACACACAACAACCCCAAATCTCTGGGACACAGCAAAAGCAGTCCTGAGAGGGAAGTTCATAGCACTAAAGGCCTACCTCAAAAAACACAACAAGAAAAATTAACAATAAACTACTTAACCCTACAACTTAAAGAATTACAAAGAGATCAACAAGAAAAGCCCAGAGTAAGTAGAAGAAAGAAGATAATAAAGATTAGAGCAGAAATAAATGACATAGAGACTAAAAAAAAAAAAATACAAAAGGCAATGAAACCAAGAGCTGGTTCTTTGAAAAGATAAACAAGATTGATGAACCATTAGCCAGGCTCATCAAGAAACAAAGAGAGAGGACCCAAATAAATAAAGTCAGAAACTAAAATGGAGAAGTAACCACTGACACCACAGAAATACGAAAGGTTGTAAGAAAATACTATGAACAACTATATGCCAACAAGCTGGACAATATGGATGAAATGGACAAATTCCTAGAAAAATACATTCTTCTAAAACTGAATCAGGAGGAATCAGAAAACCTGAATAGGCCAATAAAACTAATGAAATGAAGGCAGTAATCAAAAAAGCCCCAGCAAACAAAAGCCTGCGTCTGGACAGCTTCACAAGGGAGTTTTATCAAACCTTCAAAGAACAACTAACACAATATCCTCCTCAAACAATTCCAAAAAATCCAAAAGGAAAAAACACTTCCAAGCTCCTTTAATGAGGCCAGCATTATCCTCATTCCAAAACCAGATAAAGACACTACAAAGAAAGAGAATTACAGGCCAATATCCCTGATGAACATAGATGCTAAAATCCTCAACAAAATATTAGCAAATCAGATCCAGAAATATATTGAAAAGATCATACACCATGACCAAGTAGGATTCATTCCAGGGATGCAAGGCTGGTACAATATACACAAATCAATAAACGTGATACATCACATAAACAAACTGAAAGACAAAAATCACATGATCATATCAATAGACGCAGAAAAAGCATTCGACAAAATCCAACACCCATTTTTATAAAAACTCTCAGCAAACTGGGAATAGAGGGAGCATATCTCAACATGATAAAGGCCATATATGACAAACCTACACCCAACATCCTACTCCGTGGGCAAAAACTAAACTATTTTCCCTAAAAACAGGAACCTGACAGGGATGTCCGCTTTCACCACTCTTATTCAACATAGTACTGGAAGTCCCAGCCACAGCAATCAGACAAGAAGAATTAAAAGTCATCCAAATTGGAAAGGAGGAAGTAACTCTCATTATTCGCAGATGATATGATATTGTACATAGAAAGTCCTACAGACTCCACCAAAAAACGACTAGATTTAATAAATGAAATTGGCAATGTAGCAGGATACAAAAACAACACCCAAAAATCTATGGTTGTTTTATACACCAATAATGAATTCTCAGAAAAGAAACTAAACAAACAATCCCACTTACCATTGCAACAAAAAAATTAAGATACTTAGGAATAAACTTAACCAAGGAGGTAAACGACTTATAATCAGAAGCAAAATCAAAGGACAAAGAAAATTATAAATCACTGTAACTGCTTTAATATTAAAATATTTATTTTTTCTAAAAGATCACACAAAAGTTGGGAAGAGAAAGAGGATGTCAACTAGTCTACGTCGAAGTCCGGGCTGATGGAGGACAAAGAGCTGCCTAAGGAAATGTAGCTGGAGTCAAGGGCAGAGCTGGAGCTAGTGGCCGGCCTGAGCCCGGCAGCCTGGGGCAGCCACGCTCGCCGGCACCACCGAGTGCAGAGGGGGGCAGCCACGCTGCTGGCCCCATCGTTCCTCCTTTCCAGAAAGGGAGAGAGCGGGCGCTCACTCTTTAGACATGTTCTTGATGGTCTTGTGCTCCTTCATGGCCTTCTCCCAATCGCTGCCATTGAATTCCTCGATGACCATACTCCGCACAGTGCCCTCATCCAGACAGTGTGGGGCGATTCCTGGGGGGAGCGGCACAGAGAAAGGGGTCCCCAGTATGAGTGAGACCAGGTGCGCTCCTGGCTCTTGGACAAACCCACACCCGCGAGCACCCCTGGGCTGCATGTAGCCTACAGGGTCCCGCTTACTCTGCCCGTCTCTGAGACGGGGATCAGCCTTCCTCAGCCAGGGAGGCACGGCTGGCCCCCCGTCAGGACCGGCTAGTACAGAGCAGAACGGCTCCGCCGGGACCCATCTCTGACCGACAGCCTGCAGAATTCACAGGCCTCTTCTGGCCGAGCCAGGTGGCTTCTAAGCATTAAACGCCCCCCCATCTGCACAGGAGCTGACACTGTCCAAAGCCTTCCTGTGCTTCACGGTAGGAAAACGGCGCCACCATGTGACACACGGGAACGAGCAGCAGCTGCTCCGAGAAATGCGCAGAAGAGCGAGGTGGTGCCATGCCCTCCCCACCGCGAGGCAAGGACACGGCCCAGCTGCCCCCAGTCCTGGAGGCGGCGCCTCCACGGGAACGAGATCCCTCAGGGACGTCCCCACCGCTGCTTCAATTCACATGGCAAGTGGCCTCATTCTGAACAACCGTCTAAAGCAGTGATGGCGAACCTTTTGAGCTCGGCGTGTCAGCATTTTGAAAAACCCTAACTTAACTCTGGTGCCGTGTCACATATGGAAATTTTTTGATATTTGCAACCATAGTAAAACAAAGATTTATATTTTTCATATTTATTTTATATATTTAAATGCCATTTAACAAAGAAAAATCAACCAAAAAAATGAGTTCGCGTGTCACCTCTGACACGTGTGTCATAGGTTCACCATCACTGGTCTAAAGGCTGTTTCTGCCTCCAGATCAAGTAGGACCGGAAGAGGGACTTTGGGGGGTTCTCCTGTTTCTGTTTTGAACCAAAAAGTTTGAAGGGCATTATCAATGCCCTTCGATCTTGCTTCCTTATCCCTTTAACCACCATTGTTACCCCCCTTCCCACAGGCCCCCGATCTCTCCCCTGCTCGCTGTCCCTCAGTGCCAGCCCCGTGAGGCAGCGCTGGCAGCACCAGGATGAGGTCAGGATGGGGCTGGCATCTGACCGACCAGAGCCAGGCTTCCATCCCATCGTCTGTTCCTCTGAAACAGGCCTGCAGGAGGGTCTCGCCATGCAGGGGCAAGCCGAGCACGCAGTGCCCACCTTGCTAACCAGCATTTGCCCAGAGCAGCCCGGTGACTGGTGTCCCCCGAGCTGTGCCGTTCCCGTTACTCACCGAAGCCACCGGGGTTGGAGCGGGGGGTGTAGAAGCTCTGCACCCCACATCTCTTGCAGAAGGTATGCTGCGCCTTGTGAGTGTTGAACGTGTACGTGGTGATGCTCTCCGCTCCCTAAGGGAAAACAGACAGACAGGTGTCCCCTTCTACAGAGATGTTATTTCTCACTTAAAAAATCTATCTTCGAAAAGGCTCAACGGGTTAGGGAGCCCCTCTGCAGGGCCCTCGGGATGATGAGGACACGTCCGATCCCCCAGGGAACCACCTGCACAGCCAGGAGACTCGTGTAGATGGGCCTGTGCTGGAGAAAGGACAGCTCATGCCTTCTCGCAGGTCAACTGCACACAGAGCAACTCAGCCTCACAGTGTCCCTGTTCACGGCCAGACAGCCCTGTCGACATGGGGGGGGCGGTGTGTGGGGGCGGGAAAACGCCTGCTTTCCAGGCCCGAGTGAGTAGACAGCCCGTGCTAGGGACTGGCTCTCCATGTCCCCAAACAGCGCTACTGAAGGTCTTGAGAAAACAGTCAACTGCAGTTGCGAAGAACAAACTAAGAAAAGAGTATTTGCCAGACATCAGAGACAAAAGACTAATTTCCCAAATGGATAATAACAAATGAGAAATTGGACAAAGAACATGAACAAACAGTGACAAGAAAAAACAGGCCTGGCGGGTAGCTCAGTTGGTTAGAGCATTGACCCAAAATGCAAGGTTGAGGGTTTGATACCCAGTCAGGGCACCTACAAGAATCAACCAAAGACTTCATAAATAAATGGAACAAGAAGTTGATGTTTCTCTCCCCCCACTTCTCTCTCTCTATTCAATAAATAAAAATTAAGAAAAAAATAAACAAATAGGTCTTTAACCTGTGAAATGATGTTTACACTCATGAACTGCGATGAGATATTTTTCACTGTCAGGTGGGCAAAGTATAAAAGCAGTTTAACACAGTACTGAGGAGATGTGGAGGAACATCCCTCAATGGGCCAGTTGTGAGAATATACACTGATAGGTTCTGACATCAAAATTTTAAATGAACAATCCTTTGACACAGCAACTCCACGTCTGGAAATGTATCCCACAATTAGAATCCCATGTTTCCAATGACACATGTACATGGATATTACAGCACTGTCTGTACAGGCTGAAGACTGGACAAACTGAAAATGCCCAACAGAAGACTAGTTAAAGCAACTATGGACACATAAAATGGAATCCTCTGCAACTTTCCCAAAGTTACAAATACTAATACGGAATCTTCTCTAAGGTCACAAAGTTAGTGAAAAGGCAAAATGTATAACAATGTGTGTACTAGACTACTATTTCTATTTTTTTAAAAAGGATATACATACTTGTGCCGCTGTGTGTGTGGGGGGGGGGGTGTGGGTGTGGGTTGGGGTGGAGGGTT